GCACTGTTATAAAGATCTATCCTAGTAGAATCAGTAAGTATACACTGGTACAAATATCCATCGTAGTAGAACCAGGAAGTATACACTGGTACAAATATCCAACCTACCCCACATGACATATACACTGGTACAAAGATCCAACCTACCTCACATGACGTATACACTGGTACAAAGATCCAACCTACCCCACATGACGTATACACTGGTATAAAGATCCAACCCACCCCAGTGACGTATACACTGGTACAAAGATCCAACTTACCCCACACGACGTATATACTGGTACAAAGATTCAACCTACCTCAAATGACGTATACGCTGGTACAAAGATCCAACCTACCCCACATGACGTATACACTGGTATAAAGACCCAACCCGTCCCACGTGACGTATACACTAGTACAAACACCCAACCTACCCCACATAACGTATACACTGGTACAAACACCCAACCTTCCCCACATGACGTATACACTGGTACAAAGATCCAACCTTCCCCAAATGACGTATACACTGGTACAAGGATCCAACCTACCCCACATGACGTATACACTGCCACAAAACGTATACACTTGTACAAAGATCCAACCTATCCTACATGCCGTATACACTGCTACAAAGATCCAACCTACCCCACAAAACGTATACACTTGTACAAAGCTCCAACCTATCCTACATGCCGTATACACTGGTACAAAGATCCAACCTACCCCACATGACTTATACACTTGTACAAAGATCCAACCTATCCCACATGACGTATACATTGGTACAAAGATCCAACCTCCCCACATGACGTGTACACTGGTACAAAGATCCAACCTAACCCACATGACGTAGACACTTGTACAAAGATCCAACCTATCCCACATGACGTATATATTGGTACAAGTATCCAACCTACCTCGCATGACTTATACACTTGTACAAAGATCCAACCTATCCCACAAGACGTATAAACTGGTACAAAGATCCAACCTACCCCCACATGACGTATACACTGTTATAAAGATCTATCCTAGTAGAACCAGTAAATATACACTGGTACAAATATCCATCGTAGTAGAACCAGGAAGTATACACTGGTACAAAGATCCAACCTACCCCACATGACATATACACTGGAACAAAGACCCAACCTACCCCAAATGACGTATACACTGGTATAAAGATCCAACCTACCCCACATGACGTATACACTGGTACAAAAACCCAACCTACCCCACATGACGTATACGCTGGTACAAAGATCCACCTACCCCACATGACGTATACACTGGTACGAAGACCCAACCTACCCCACATGACGTATACACTGGTACAAAGACCCGACCTACCCCACATGACGTATACACTGGTACAAAGATCCAACCTACCCCACATGACGTATACACTGGTATAAAGACCCAACCCGTCCCACGTGACGTATAAACTAGTACAAACACCCAACCTAACCCACATGACGTATACATTGGTACAAAGATCCAACCTACCCCACATGACGTATACACTGGTACAAAGATCCAACTTACCCCACATGACGTATACACTTGTACGAAGATCCAACCCACCCCACATGCCGTATACACTTGTACAAAGATTCAACCTATCCCACATGACGTGTACACTGGTACAAAGATCCAACCTACCCCACATGATGTATACACTGGTACAAAGATCCAACCTCCCCCACATGACATATACACTGGTACAAAGACCCAACCTACCCCAAATGACGTATACACTGGTACAAAGACCCAACCTATCCCACATGACGTGTACACTGGTACAAAGATCCAACCTACCCCCACATGACGTATACACTGTTATAAAGATCCATCCTAATAGAACCAGGATGTATATACTGGTACAAATATCCATCGCAGTAGAACCAGGAAGTATACACTGGTACAAGTATCCAATCTACCTCACTACCCCACATAACGTATACACTGGTACAAAGCCCCAACCTACCCCAAATGACGTATACACTGGGATAAAGATCCATCCTAGTAGAAGCAGGAAGTATACACTGGTAAAAAGACCCAACCCGTCCCACGTGACGTATACACTGTTATAAAGATCCAACCTACCCAAAATGACGTATACACAGGTACAAGTATCACATGACGTATACACTAGTACAAACACCCAACCTACCCCACAAGACGTATATACAGGTACAAGTATCCAATCTACCTCACAAGACCCAACCTACCCCAAATGACGTATACACTGTTATAAAGATCCAACCTACCCAAAATGACGTATACACAGGTACAAGTATCTAATCTACCTCACATGACGTATATACTGGTATAAAGATTCAACCTACCTCACATGACGTATACACTGGTACAAAGACCCAACCCACCCCAATGACGTATACACTGGTACAACGACCCAACTTACCCCACAAGACGTATACACAGGTACAAGTATCCAATCTACCTCACAAGACGTATACACTGGTACAAAGATTTAACCTACGCCACATGACGTATACACTGGTGCAAAAATCCAACCTACCCCACATGACGTATACACTGCTACAAAGATCCAACCTACCCCACAGGTCGTATATACTGGTACAAGTATCCAACCTACCTCACATGACGTTTACACTGGTACAAAGATCCAACCTACCCCACATGACGTATACACTGGCACAAAGATTCAACCTACGCCACATGACGTATACACTGGTACAAAAATCCAACCTACCCCACATGACGTATACACAGGTACAAAGATACAACCTACCCCACAAGACGGAAACACTGGTACAATGATCCAACCTACCCCACATGACGTATACACAGGTACAAAGATACAACATTCGTATAAACTGGTACAAAGATCCAACCTAACCCACATGACGTATACATTGGTACAAAGATCCAACCTACCCCAAATGACGTATACACTGGTACAAGGATCCAACCTACCCCACATGACATATACACTGGTACAAAGATCCATCCTAGCCCACATGAGGTATACACTGGTACAAAGATCCATCCTCCCCCACATGACGTATACACTGCTACAAAGATCCAACCTACCCCAAATGACGTATACACTGGTACAAGGATCCAACCTACCCCACATGACATATACACTGGAACAAAGACCCAACCTACCCCACATGACGTAAACACTGGTACAAAGATCCATCCTCCCCCCCATGACGTATTCACTGGTACAAAGATCCAACCTAACCCACATGACGTATACACTGGCACAAAGATCCCACCTACCCCGTGGACACTGTTATAAAGATCCATCCTAGTAGAACCAGGAAGTATACACTGGTGCAAAGATCCAACCTACCCCACGTGACGTATAGACTGAAGTATACACTGGTACAAAGATCCAGCCTACCCCACATGACGTATACGCTGGTACAAAGATCCACCTACCCATAAAGATCCATCCTAGTAGATCCAGGAAGTATACACTGGTACAAAGATCCAATCTACCCCACATGACGTATACAATGGTACAAAGACCCAACTTACCCCACATGACGTATACACGGGTACAAAGATCCAACCTACCCCACATGACGTATACACTGGTACAAAGATCCATCCTAGTAGAACCAGGAAGTATACTGCCTGCAAAACAATGCTCACATAATGACAATATCCCGAATTGCAAAACAAGTAGTGTTTTTTGTTCTTTTGATATTAACTTTCATTTGTGTTACTTCTTGGAACTGCCATAACTGTGGAAAAGAATATACATTGGTTTGACAAGCTCCTTATGTATTTACATGTCGACGCTTAGTTTTTATTTTGAACAGAAAATGATAAATCATTTAAGCCGACGTAACACGTATACTGACAATCCACTCGTAGATGATGACAGCGATCCCTGAGGCAGCAGCCGATCCAGCTATCCCTATAAACATCGGGGCTCCAATGTTACTTGCGAATATAGAGGCGCCAACCTGTGTACGTTCAAAAGGAGATAAATCTATGTTTACAATTGTAATTGCTTCCAAAGCACTAAGGAAAATGTTAATGGAAGTACTTGAAATCGTTCAGTACATCATTTTAATTCATAGATCTCTATCTGTTTAATAAAAGAAAGAAAAAGCAAAAACTTGGGAATGAAGTAATAATGAAACTTTCGGACAAACCCGTCCCTTTTAATTTATGGTAGAATATATGTTTTATGAAAACCTTATGAATTAACCAAATATGGATATCGTCCTTGTTTTCTTGTAAATGCGAAATAGTTTAGCTGCCTTCCAGGAAACCCATACAATAACTTAATAAATGCTTATTAAAGGGACATAACTCATAACGTTATATTGTATAGGTTTGTACAACACTATCTATTAGGTTGGCCATACAATGAATTACCGACATACAGGTATCCAGTGAATGTTCCTTCCCGCCAAAAAATAGCCATGAGCCGATCCTTTGTTAGAGCGACAGGTCGACTGTAACACAATACAGTGTAATCAGTCATCAAAGTACGACATTTAAACGTTTTTAATTGATTATATAACAAACAATATCTAAATGTAACACAGCGAGTATATCATTTGTATAGCTAAATCTAGATATTCGAAGGTCGGAAATATTTTTATTTTAACATATGAACATTCTGAGTTATTTCTTTAGATCACTAGTATCATATTATTACAGTATGCATTGCAATAGCTAATTAAAATATTATTTTGCACAACATTCTAATTTCAATTCTGAAGCACCAGTTTAAAACGGTATAATTAACTTATTAATCATTACTACATACAGGTTGCTATAACGATATTATTCGTTTATAATTTTAATAATACTAGATGACAAGGTAAACATTTATTGACAACCAGATTTCTTTGGCATTTATTGGATATGAATTCAAATTTGACGGAATCCGTTGTTAATTGAAGCGACAATATTGTAATACGATGAGCCGTGTAACACCCGATAGCATGTCATTAGGGGTGGCCTTTCGTACCGCCCAGTGGAGAGAGATTTCTATCTGACACTGACCGGGATCTGACCCATACCATCACTCTTATCTCTCTAGTAAATACAGTATATTACCTTTTTATTCCGGAAACTATTGTTCAATTGTCTACCCTCAAATGTATATCAGATTTGCAATCTGTTTGTGAGACGTATCTAAATTGTTTTCTTGCAATGAAAAGATAGCGAGGTAGAGACTACCGGTTACCTGACTACTCACTCACCCATAATCCAACACCAAGGACTAACACAAAATATATCCCCATTGTTAAGTAGTCCTCCCATCCTAAATATTCCGCCATGTCAGCAAGGGGCCGCAGCACACACATACACTCTCAGATACGACGAGACTTAGTCGCTGATAACACTGATAAGACTCGAGGGCTATAGACTTACCTTCCATTACAGCACATAGTTCAAAATCAAAATACGGAGTTCGGTTGTTAAACATTGGGAAAAGTACAGTGTTCGAGATATCGAACCTCTGTTTGCACGTAGATAGGCTAGTAGGTGTACGTGAATCAATACGAATCCAGTGGAATAGATCGAGCATCTAACAAAGAGGGGTGTTCACAAGAGTATATATATCACATATATGACTCACTTTATATGACAGTGCATCTTGCGCAAGAATAGGTCCTCTACATCAGCGTTCCTTGTCCGCGCTGCTCTCAGCTTAATTGCTGCCTTCGGCTGTCTTTAGCCGAGGGGACTATTGGTTTTATATAATAGCTATATTTTCAATTATAGTATATCAATTCTATCTTCTTGTAATATGATGTATATGTGCATGTAACTGTTCTGCTTCACTGTGTCTTGAAAAAGGAGCGGATCGCTCCGAAAATTTGACAATCTAAACTTGTCCACACTGTTGGAATTACTTCTTTGCCCCATATACTATTTTAAGTAATTCGTATCCTACGGACATACCTCCATTAGGATCCAGTGTTATATGGGATTTTACCGTCTATATTACTTCTTTGACCCATATCACATATATAATGTGTACTATCCATGTATCCATGCCCTGTACCTTAATGGGCGGGAGGAGGGGGGGGNGGGGGGGAGGGGGGCTAAAACAAGGCCATTTGATGGCCAATGGGACCTAAGTCGACGTTACGTTAGCGCGGGTACGCAGGTCGACCCTGTCCAAATAATTACAGCAATGCTATGTTAGCGCGGACGCACATGTCCATGTGTTTATAATAACTGACAAAATGGCAAAACTGTACAACACACTGGGACAGACAATTCGTCCACCTAATTTAACAACGTCTGTCAGCTTCATTTACTGAAATGAAGTAGCAACCGGCTGAGTCAACAATAAACCGATCTGTCAAAAAGCACCAGGTAGAAAAAGAAAATTAGAACAAAATCTTATTCGTTCATACCTTGAAAGTTACGCGGGTTTGTACATATGATGATGATCCAATATCTTTCCCTTGTGCGTCGTCTTTATTCATTCTGTGTTCGGCAATGATATAAGGCAACCACCTGCATGTTCTCCTAACTATGGCTATGCGTATTAAAGTACATTGCCACATGGACATCAGGTTTGATTTGCTTAATGGAGAAACGGAGCTCTTGATTTCGATACTGAGCTTTGTACCACATACTGTATATGGTACACTTAACTGTGGGGGGTGTATAGACACAGTATGCACATATAAATGTTGCGTGTTCCAAAGAGTCTGTACTGCAGCAGAGGCGGTGTAGATGGATTGTTACCTTACGTAAGGATACTTTATATAATTTCGTCTGCGATATGCCATATGGGAAGATCTGACATGGCTTTGCTGAAAACTCAGCCAGTTTGCTTTCAAAATTGATAGAAATGTCGAAATGTTACCGGGCCAGAAACAACACTAACAACTCAGTTGGTTCGAATTTTGTGGTCCTTTATTTCAGGGCTTAACCCGAACAAGAAAACCTAAAAATACAAATAAAAATGAACAGTTACACACGGTTACACACAGCCACTCACATACCTACATATGTACCAAGGGAAATAACTCCTACTTGGTAAATTTACAAGTTTACCCTATTTCTATAAAATCCTTATATTTTCACGTAACGTTTATATATATAAATGTTACCATATTCCTTACATTTATTATTAGATACATTTAACAGAACTTGACAGAATAAAGTTATCTTTCATTATTGAATATAATTAATGATGATACAGAATATGGTAATTTACACAGAACTTTCTCTATAAATTCTCACCATTGAATGCATATATACATGTACTTCTATACCTTATTGTATTTCAAATAAATAAATTATAATCTTAAGATGAAACATATATAGTACATACCCTGCATAATTGGGCAAGGTTCTCAGTGCCAATTCCATTCTCACTTTTCCAACCATACAATATAAGCTAAATGAAAAATAAGGTAACTATGAAAACTCATTGTAAAATGACATTTACCAATAACCTATACATTAGTTATTTTTGAGTCTCAATATTTTACTGAACAATATTGACTGGCGACCTTCAATGTCCTTGAAATAATTTACATATTCACATGGCTATTTTGTAGCAAAAATACCATAATTATCCTTAATTTAAATATTAATAATATCGACACTTTACATTTACTGCATAAAGCTTGCTGCAATAACAGGATGGTTACTTGTAAATAATCACTACCAATTTGAATAAAATATCAAGCCTTGGAATGACTTACCGGTTAATGTCCTGACTGTGGAGTCCCGCACACGTGCCCACCTGACTGACTATCCAGGTACATGCATTACCTAGCCTACCCTGATCTTAACACACGTCTTATTTAGACCAATCAAATGTCATTCTGTCTGTCAGGTGTCATATCAAGTACAGTGCTCACAGGTACAGGTAACACACAAACATTAAGGAAGAATTCTCCTTCATGTCCATGGTAATATTATATTGGTACACCAGTAAAAGTATTTAAACAATATATATACATCTAATCAATATAAGCACACCCTATACATATACATAACACATGATTACTAAAATTATCATACTGCCACATTGGGATGGTATGTAACTTCACAAGGTACCTTCTGTGTTCGAAATGACTTTTTTCTTTTAAGCTGACCTGTCAAGCCAAGTGTCCTGAGTTTGTCTATTACCCGATCTATGAAAGAAGATTTGTATCTTTTGCTTTCGAAGGTGACTATACGTCTGATGCACAGGTATTGAGATGCTCATTGTTGTGTGCAAGGGGTGACAACAGGATTAACGGATTAACTAGTGTATTGCAGTTGGTTTGCAGTGTAGGTCCTCGCTGATCTTTCCATCATTTACAGTGGAACGCGGAACCGGTGGCTAAACAAATGACAGTGTCCGTTATAATATCCACTGTAAATTTGATGGTAGACCGGAACGCAAAGGAGTCCGACGAATATGTCCCAAAAATACAACAGTATTGGGCCATCTTTGTGTGAAAGATGAAAATCTGACTTGTATTTAATTTGTTTTCGCGTTAAATATGAAGATTTTCAGTGTGAATACAAGTTTTAGTAAGTCCATTAGGATATCAGTCGATGGGTGTTTATCGTTCCAATGCATCTCAACTAGCAGCAATGTCGTCGTCATCTGTTATGATCGTGAAGAGGACAACGACGTCCATCGTGACTAACAGGTTACCTTCTGGATGTTCCTGTTGGAAGTGTTGTTTAGATATATGTTGTACCATTTATATTCATAGCCGTAGATTTCCGACATTTGGTCGAAGATAGGAGTTTACATACATGGATGCATTAATGATGGGTGTACCTGAATTCCCAGGTTTATTGGTCTTTGGAAGGAATTGAAAAAAAATCCTGCTTTCGGGGGAAGATAGGGGGCGAGCGCAGGTTGTACATGTAAATAGTGTCTTGATCAAAATCTCTCTCACTTTATAGCCTCGTTTACCTGTCGGGCGTATTCAAGCGTCAGATCGATATCGACGATGTTTCGTTTGAACGCTGTCGCTATTCATATTGTGATGGGGAAACAAAACAGGGGACTATGTATTTACACAGCTTAAAACAAATCTATATCATTTGTAGTTTGGAATTGCTGTGGAAACATGAAAAAGTACCAGGTGCACGAATGGCGTTGGGCTTCGCAATGTAAATAATAATGTAAATAAACAAAAGAATAGTGTAATATATATTTTTTCATTTTTTTAAAGGTAAAAACAAAATTTATATATGGAAATATTAAGAAAACTGTTTGATTAACATTTTTTGTATAAAAATCTGAAGTGTCATCATCCGGAGGATATCTCAAATATACAACCATACATGTATGTATAAATGTATGTGAGTTTTAACTTTACAGCTTTACTGTTATAACAGAAATTGTATCTGTATGTAAACATATCTGTATGTAAACTCGATCTACAACACAACGATAACTGTTCAGTATCAAGCGAGATTTCCTTATGATGAACGTTGGTACGATTGACTCACACAAAATACACTAGAGCGTGACGATCGACCTTAACACGGGGGTTATATGATGTTTACCTACGCAGTGGATGGCCAGGGAAGTATCGGCTCACCTGAGTATATACCTGCCTCCTAATAATATGTAAATTTTGGAGGATATATAAATCGCCCCGGTATATTCCTGGTCACTTTGTGTATACATGCGTCTGTACATTTTATCACTGATGTGCTTCAGCTGTTTAGAAGTGGCGAGACTACGAATCCACCTCAACTGATACCTAAGATGACGGAAACACTCGGTTGGGGAGATTATCTTACCATCGGAATATACTTTGCTATTGTGCTTGTCGTCGGAATCCTGGTACGGTATGATTATAATACTCTTTCATGTTACATTGTTTTCCATTTTATGCATTACATATCCAGACGACAAGTTCCCTGAATAGAAAGGAGCCTTGTTCCTTTTATATACGTAATATGTGTGTATGGTTACGTGTTACCTGTGTGCAATGGACGTAACAGGTGTTTTGTTTCTGTATTATCATCACGTTAATAATCAATGACTACAGCTAGTCGCGTTGATCATAATTTAAATACATGAGCTTTAATTTTGGAGACAGCGAAGGCGTTTAAGGCGTGTAAGGTCCTCCTGGTCCCTCAAAAAGAACAGAATGAAAGCACGGACGATCACATGTTGTGTGTAAACAGTGTAGTAAAGGCATTGTGGCGTCCATTAAAATTGATGCTAGCCTTGTTGATTCAAAACAAATTTCGTTAATGGTAAAAACAGGAAAAAATTCCATATCCCCTTGACACTATCAAGCTTTATATCGTGGGTTTGTTATTCTGTATGGTCTGGATAGCATTTTTAAAGCATAGCCATAAATCTAAAGATTATGTGACGAAAATGCATGGATGCATGTTTTATAAGTTTGATTTAGTAATGTCATATATTTAAGATTGTCCATGAACCCTCACACTGAGGGCACCGATACAAACAGGATTTATATGTAAACCTGTCTCGCACTAGGATGGTCCATTGTTACCGTTCGCATGGTTACCGACCTCTACCCATTGTCAATACATGTGTTTGAGTCATCCTGGGCACAGGTAAAGCCCTAAACCATAAGTGTTATTGTAAACTCTTCACCATGCTATTCATTTCTTCTAATCATACATTTTAAAATATATCAATTACAATATGAATGTAAAAAAGATCGGTCATTGTATTGCAGTCAACATGTCGACCAAACAGAGGGAGTTCACAAGGCTATTTTCTGGCTGGCAAAGACATGCACTGGATACCGGTATGGTATTTCATATATACCTTAGTATCATGAAGTTAAATATAATACTCACATGATTATTTATTGGATGCATTGTTTAATATATAAAAAATAGCCATTACAGATACGATACATTACTGATTGAACTGATTATTATTGGACTAGAAGTTATATAATAGTCGCTCAATATTTCAACACAGACATGTAAATGATATCAACATATTTCATTTCATCATATTTTATTGAGTAAACAATAGGATTGAACAGTAGGCTAGGACTATATAAGTTATCTCCTTAGGTTGACATGACAAAGACAAAGATGAATGAAATGGTTTGTAAGAAAATATTGATGCAAATTATATATAATAAGTAGCATAGACATATATATATATATATATATAGCAGATGGTATAGGGGAGATAATTCCATGTATGTTTCAATTACATATAAATATTTAATTGATATTTTTAGCTATACAATGCTCATATTAAAAAGTCAATCATAATTAATTAGTAATAGGAAAGCAATGCCCTAATGATATATTAAACAGAGAAATTGCTACAATTGTTTTTTTGTTTTTTGTTTTGCAAGTCATTAGTGCCCCCTGTTCATACCCTGCTGCTGTTGCATGAAGTANTTTTACTTTATTGCACCCATCAGTAAAAACAGCACACAAAGCTTAATCCCTTAGGTGTATAATATTAAAACATCAATGTATATATAACAATCAGAAGAATCACATAATGGTTTAAGGACAGTATTTTATCAGTTATGACTATATATAACAAAATTTATAGATTGTTTTGATTAATTAAACAAGTCTTCTTGTGTTGTATATATATTTAAGAACACTATCAAGTATAGATTTATTTTCAGTATTGTTTAACACAGTGCTTCCATTAAGAAGTGTTTTAGTATCAATATCAACATATCAGCTTCTATTATTGGTATTGGCATGTTTACAAAGTCAACTATGATAACTCTGATATTGCATTATGTGTATTATCATTAATGTCCCAATTACCATATATTTTAGATTGGAGCATCAATCTATGCCAGCAACATAGGCGCTCCGATGTTCATAGGTTTAGCGGGTTCAGCAGCAGCCTCTGGTCTAGCTGTCACGATATATGAATGGCATGTAAGTTTAAAGCACGGCAAGTACCATACAGAATCCTAACGTCTTTTTTCCCCATTAACATGTCAATAAATTGAGAATAAAAATTACATGATTTAAATGTCCTTACAATATCATCAACTATATAAATATGAGTTGAAAACGTTTTGCCTGCATGAAAACTGTACCTGAAATAAACCATTTCCGGAAAGAAACCAATCATTATGGAACTTTTGTATGAAAAAGAAGTAAATGTGAAATGAACAACAATAGATATCAACTTTTATGTTCAGGGATAAAATAGAATAGTTGTACAACGGGCCAGGTCCTGGACCTTCAATAACGATACAGTCACTCTTACCACACACCAACGGAAATTCCTGTTCAGCGTAGCTCATCAGTCGAGTCCCTCTGCAGTAATATCAGAGACAAAATATAGGGGAGGCAAATGTATGCATATTGGGGCAGAGTCTTGGAACTAAACTATTGTTAAATAGTCTTCCATATCAAAGGGGAACTTTATATTGTAATGCATTGGTGGATCTAACATTCAGTTATTGGTATTCTAGCTTTATCGTGTAGTGAAGATTAGACTTGTTGTCTCTTCGCGATAATAAAAACTATATGAATGATTTCCACTGCATATTAGTTCGAATGAGTATGGCTTTTGTTTTGTGGTAAAAGAGTATCACATATCATTTATAAGTTTCTATGAAATTGAAAACTTATGTTTGCAAATTTTATAAAATCTATCTATGTTATATATAAACAGAAATAATCTATCACTCGTATATTTACACTGGTAAACTTCGTAAACATTAAGTCAGATTTGAAAAAAATATACATATATTTAATTTCAGGCAGCGTTCTTTCTCATCGCTCTTGGCTGGATTTTTGTACCTGTGTACGTCTCATGTGGGGTAGGTGTCATTTGTTTCACATAAAAAAATCCTATTGTATATTGAATGTCGACAATTCTTTATGGGAATTGATATAAAATGTTAATAAAAACCATGGTACTATGTAGCGAGCCCTGTTTCATCTGTATTGTAATTATGTTTTACAACTGGAAATGTTATTTACGGTTGTTTTAATCAAACTATTTTCTTGCACATGACACATTGATGCAATGAAACCACTTTTTCATTTGTTTACCATCAAATACCGGCCAGCACTAAAACGGCCGCCCTTCCTGGCTTCATTGTCTGTTAAGATTATTCTACCTGTGACCTATTCATATTTGAGACTATCAGATACATCCCTTGCACAGTCAACAAATATAGATCTTATATATAGCTTTTATATGGTCGCATATGTAATAACGACAGTATGATCCAATATCAGCACTGGATCCGAACAAATAAATGTTGGTTGGATGCGCATTACTTAAATAGATAAATGGGCAAAGAAGTAATACTGACAGTGCAGACGAAGAAATCTGTCACATTTTCAGGGCGATCTGCCTATTGACGTATAACAACATAAAACAGAGAAAAACAATCACCATGAGACAATAATACAATACAAAATATTGTATCTTTTATAAATCTTATACATATCTTTTATATAGCTTATATATAAATATTGTTTTCTATCTTTTGTTTTAAAAGGGTACAACAACCGTTCTTAATGCGAGAGCTCACTTTAACACCACGCCAGATTTAGTAATTACTTCTGTAAATCTGTACAGTTGATACTAATTCCTATTGATGTCATCATGTAGTGGTTGTACATTACTTGTGTTCTTTAACTGTATATTGTGTATGATGCAACACCTCTATTGATTAACCTCTCCATTGGGACGTGTTTGTTTTGTTCACCAGTCCTTTACCACTCCCCAATACTTACGGAAACGGTACGGAGGAAAGCGGATCAGAATCTATTCATCTATCATGTCCCTGGTCGGGTACATCCTCTTCAATATCTCGGTATGTAATATTTGTCTGTAGTCGAGTATACTTTCGTCATTACATTCGTGTGTTTTTTATACATCCGGCCGGCTGATCTTGTCCAACTTGTGTGTGATCAACTGTGTTTTTGTTCTCAGTATTTTCTCAGTAGGTACCATATTACACGTACCCTACATTCACTAGTTTTTATCCATTTTGTCTTTGAATTGATGTATTTTCGATATATCGGTAAATACTGCATCGTTGACGCAATGTCCCTCGTCGGTATGGTTCACTTTGATAGTTTTTTAAGTATCCTTACTTCACACCAGATAGTTATCAAATGATTTCTTTTTACGTTAAAATCAAAAATATGTCAATTTATATTTCGAAAGTCATGCCTTGACAATAGATTTTGAAACATGTTGTCGTTAGCTCATGAAACAAAATGTTAAGTCTAACTTTTGTTACAATGTATTTCCAATTTCCCCAATGATCATCTACTAGCTTTTATCATCCCCCACTTATTGTCATGTTTCACACATTGTCGTCTCTAGGTAGTGACATCACTCACTTAATGACAACTTCCACTTATTTTTAGCTCCAACTTATTGACGTTTTCTACTTTTTATTTGTTTTTAGATTGAAATTTTTACTGGTGCCATGTTCCTGCAGCAAATCCTGGGGTGGAATCTCTACCTCAGTGTGGTTATCATACTTACTGTGACGGCCATTTTCACCATTGTCGGTAACTATAAACTCTTAAAGTTTTGTCGCATTACCTTATACAACATTTGTAACTTATCTCACTTCACAACACTCTTGGGCGTCAACTACAAAAACGACATCCCTTATAGCAAACTAAAACTTTGAGCGAAGAGAAAGCCATCCAGTAAACGTTTATTTGAACCATGCAGTTTGAACACTTTAACCAGACCTTAATCAAGGAAAAAACGAAGATAAAATGACACGAATATTCATATCGATGTCGCCATACCACTTTGTGATAATTGTTTCTAGCGGAATATGTGTGCAATTACTAGCACAATGTATGTTATAACCACTACGATAACATCTGAAGTGTACCGAGTAGAACGTTAAACAGTATGCGGTAGTGACCATTAAATTAAATTGGACTGTGTGTCCATGCATACTTGGATATAAATTTGTATGTATGGGCATGAACTAATTAAGCAGATGATAGGTAGGCTATCTATTCTTGAAGGTTAAGTTCAATTTGGCTGTTATCATGCTTAAGTCCTTAGGTACATTCGTATATGAACTATTCGTAAATGTTATCTTAAAAAATGTAGTATCCTCTTTCGAAACATAGTGTTCCTTTAAACTAAATTGTAATTATTTAATCCGTTTGTTTTAAGCACGGTTGTGTTCAAGCTGTGTAGAAAAAAGGAATATTGAATGATAACATATAATGATATGTACATTTGTTCAATTGTAAACAAAACACTGCATCTGCCATTACTTTACATCGTATCTTACTGGGTGTATTTGCATTTCTTTTGTTTCATTGGCTATACAATCAGAATTTCAAAACAACATTCAAAACAACATTCAAAACAACATCCCTTCTGTTGAATGTATGATAATTAAACACCAATATATGCATATAATATATATAAGCTTCCGATTTATGAATATTTTTGTTGTATTATTGATGGAAATAATATCAAAGACATAAACAAGTGTCATCACACACTGGTATATACATATCAAAAACAGGAAATGTTAGTATATAAAGCATTGCTTCCTAGAGTTGCTTTAGATGTACATGTATAGTGTAAATACTGCACAGTGTACATATTACATCAAAACATTACCACAGTATATTGCTACTCAAAAACAGCGGAAGGTACATGCTACAGTAACACACTAGAACGATACAACGCAATTAAAAGTAAGATATGTAGATTGATACATAGATAAGTTTGTCAATCAACACGCATTCGACACAAAACGAGCATACATTTTGACTTCTTTTGTTATTTTTAATATTAATCAATTAATTAATTTATTTATTTCCAATTCAACAGACCCAAGGGTCCACTTACAGAATGGATAACAACATTTCAACACAAGTGTAACAAATCACAGTCAGTTATTCATGTAACACACATTAAAAGATACTCATATGTAAAGCAAAAGGAATTAGTGATACCAAATATTCTTTAACCGTACTTTGAACTCGGCGAGAGAGGAACGAAACATACCACAGTCTGGAGTTAAAATCACTATCAACACATTTGTAAAGAAATACACAGTCTAAATAATAACCCAGGTATGTGGTTTCCTGGGTACGATGATTTACTCTGGTTACTCTCACTGCTAGGGCTGTAAAATATTACTTTCTATTACAGGTGGTCTTGCTGCAGTTATCTACACAGACACGTTACAGACAGTTGTACTTATTGTTGGTGCTACCATTCTCTTTGTTACGTGTAAGTCATTGTCACATAACCTCAATGAGTAAACTGCTTTCAGATCGCAAACGGAATTTCTTGTGTTCGTGTTATGACTGTGTATATGATAACCGCCAAACATGTGTATACATATCGGTAGACACATTTGCCAACTGATAAAGCAAAACCCTTTGTCGATGGTCCTTTTGTCTAAACACTATTATTGATAATTATAGTATAGATACAGCAGAAAAGTATTTAAAAAAAATATTTTGTACTATTATTTAAATAAGACTCACATGGATTGTTTTCAGCTTGGGTAGATGTTGGTGGATGGGAAGCAATACACGACAAGTACATGACGTCAGCAGCTAACTACACGCTTACAAACACATCGTTATACTCATGTGGCCTACCGAGACAGGATTCATTTCATATTGTGCGTGATGCTGTCACGGGAGATATCCCCTGGCCAGGTGCTCTTTTGGGACTATCCACCTTGGGCATGTATGTCTGGTGTCAAGATCAGGTAACTCTCAAGGTCTAACATGGACATGTGTTTATAGTGTAAGTTTCTCGTGTAATTCTCTTGGGTAACGGCAATTGCAGTAAGGTGGTCGGGTGTTTGTGGATGGTGCTTTCACCTTCGGCCAAGATGACAAAGAATCTTGCCCTCGATCTGTCGTGTATACATGTAGTTATGGGATCATCAGGTCGATCGGCCGTGTATACATCAAGTTATGGGGTTATCAGGTCGATCGGCCGTGTATACATCAAGTTATGGGGTTATCAGGTCGATCGGCCGTGTATACATGTAGTTATGGTGTTATCAGGTCGATCGGCCGTGTATACATGTAGTTATGGGGTCATCAGGTCGATCGGTCGTGTATACATGTAGTTATGGGGTCATCAGGCCCATCACGTGGGTTTAATCCGGATACTCTGTTTTTTTTCTTACATCAAGATTTGTTTTTGTAAAGTTGTCAATAAAGTGCCATTTAATTTTTAAAAGTAACGTTTGTATAGGTTAACAATTGTAGGATTTCATGCATGTTTGTTTCTGTAACAGGTAACGTTGATGTACTATAGTATTAAATTATCATTGAAAATGCTTAATGCCGCTTTTAAGATCACAAAATTGAATCGTTATCAATTTCTGCATTTGTTAATTGCTATTTCCACAGCTTATTGTACAGAGGTGCTTGTCGGCCAGGAACATGAACCACTCCAAAGGGGGAGCATTGCTTGGTGGTTTGCTGAAACTTACCTCTTTTCTCATGTTCGTTATTCCCGGGATGGTCAGCCGGATTAAATACCCACGTACGTACATGATTAAATAGCTTAAACCTACAGAAATAAGCATTTTAAGATACATTTATGTATACTAAGGAAAAACGAAAGCTCTTAAATATCTATGTACCTTATATACACAGTGAAAATACTGCTTGTGTTTTAATATGAAATCTTCCTGCTTTATTTAGCCCTCAAGTGACTGATTTTTTGTGTTTCATGTGATCAAACTATATTTACAGAGGAAGTTGCATGTGCAGACCCCGACAAATGTTTTGAGATTTGTCAAAATAGGGCTGGTTGTTCAAATCTGGCTTACCCACTGCTCGTCCTACGTATTCTACCAGAAGGTATGCACTTAACGTTACAAAACACGTCATTTAGGTAAACAAACACACACTAACTACGTCATTGCACATTTAGATACTAATAAACCACAATAATTAACAATAGAGAACAAAGCAATGTCGGCGCAATTATAGTGATTAAGTTTAGCAACATTTAAATTGATCCCGTTTGTTTATAAACGTTTGATTTACCTTTTTGAGGTATTCGGGGCCTGATGTTGGCTGCGTTACTAGCGGCGTTGATGAGCTCTCTGACGTCGATATTGAATAGTGCCAGCTCTGTGATAACGTTAGACGTATGGCGCATGTACAGGAAGAATGCCAAGGAAACGGAACTGATGATAGTGGGTAGAGTTACGGTGCTGATCCTCGTTGTCACCAGTATCCTGTGGTTACCAGTCATGGAGAAGGTCCAGGGAGGACAGTTCTGGTCATACATGCAGTCCATCAGAAGCTACCTCATCCCTCCATGGTGTATACTGTTCGTTCTAGGAGTATTCTGGAAACGTACAACGGAAGCGGTAAGCCATCCTATTAAGATGATACATTGTAGCTTGTTCTTGTCAAATATTTAAAGTCACGTCTCTTCTGCCTACCCTTTCCCCGTGGAATATCATTAGAATGAGGAGTTATCAAAACACTGTAGCACTTTCTCTGATTCTGATCGTCAGAAACAGTTTGTAAATAACTATTAGCCGTACCGGATTGGTGCATTCCATACCTTGTCACAATCTGCTTTAGTAAGTTTTCATACACTTCAAACATGTTTAAGTTTAAAACTAAATACAGAATATTCTTTCAAAATTTACTCGATAAAAAAGACTTATTTAACAATAACAAAGGCCAGATAGTCGGATCGGTACACTTCGTGGTTTATCAACTTCAGCTATCACAAGTCTTTGCGACACCAGGACACACATGGATAACGAATGAAAGTTATTTCCCTTAGCATGCGCGTCTTAATATTAATACACAAGCCTAGCTCAGACTTCTAAACTAATGGACTGAAATCGCGAAATAGAAAGTTAAAACCTTGTAATCAACCAATGAAACCCGCTATTGTTGTTTGAGCATGAAAAACATACAGGTGAAATAAAGTAAATTTTAAACGCAGTTGAAAAGATTTAGGAAAATCAACAAGCTTTTCATTACACGGACGGAAACTTGCTTATTGCGTGAAACATCAGTATCCACGCATACATGTTTAGCATAAACGTATACCTGTAGCATAAACGTATAACTGTAGCATAAACGTATACATGTAGCATCAACGTATACCTGTAGCATACACTTATACCGGTAGTAAAAACCTAAGCATTTACCTGTAAACAGTTTTTTTGCTATGTATGAGAGTAACTTTTACCAGATTGACAATGTTCTAAAATAGGAAAGGTTTTGTTTTATGAAAGATTAAGACACATTACAGTCGGCAACATGACCTGGTACAAAGCTACGGACATTTTTGTGTCTACCTTGTTCAGTGTGTCTTTTATCGTTGATGTTCTGCAAGCACTCCTAGATTTGACGGTGGTTATGATACCGGTTGCTATATGGTGCCGGGAATTATATTTCTGGAGCTCTTGGTGAACCATATGCTTTTTAGGTTCAATAGTGTCTATTTTTGTGGGTCTCCTAGAGTTTTGTTGAATCCGCTGTGATTTCTTTCTTGTGTTGAAACAATGGTATATTATGTTTTTTAGTTTATACTGCACGATTTAAAAGAAGTCTTGTAATAGTGTTGTTTCACATTTTAAAGGGAGTGTTCTGGGGTCTGATTATATGTCTGGTGATCGGGGTCATAAGATTGGTGTTGGACTTTATATACTTACCGCCGAACTGTGGCAGCGGTGAAGCGGATACCAGACCCGACATCGTCACTAAAGTCGATTTTCTCCACTTCGCCACCATCTTGGCTGTCATCGCTACCATTGTGATGGTGGTTATAAGCCTTTTAACTGAACCAAGACCGGAACGAAAGGTAACTTTCCTTTTCCGGTTATTGCATAACATGGAAGTCTATAGTTTTCATTCTGATAAGAATTATTTATGTTACCTTAAAACATATTACAGTCCAATACTTAGAAATATATTGCTCAGCAATATCATAGGAACTTAATATGAAATTAATAAGTATTAATTACCAAACTTCTGTTTCAGTATGAAAGAGGTGGTTTTAAAAGTACAGTGATTTATAAGATACACATTTCTTTCTATAAAAAACATATTTATCCTTAACGTTTCATGTTCATTTGGTAGTTTTCAGGAAAGAATAATGAAGTTTTATTCTGTTATTTTAGCTGCGTCGTGTAACGTTTTGGACAAGGAACGATCCTTTAGAACCAGAATTAGACTCGGAGGATGATGAAATGGAGGAGGAGGAAGAGGATCCACAAAAGGAGGCAACAGAGGATGCAACAGGTAAACATTGGCAGTGTTATGATATATAAATTCATTGTTTTTCATTATGTTAATCAGAACAACATCAATGCTTATATTACATGTACTACCCTATAGAAATTGTTATAGGTATCATTAACTGAACTTTATGAACAGTTTTGAAAAAGGCCTGGACATTTTTGAATAATTGCTCATAAGTGCAACATTGATTAGATTAATTATTTGGATGATGTAAGACAAGCGTATAAACGAACAGTAACTATCACGTTTCTAATGTATTTCGCCTGTTTACGGTAAAATTCTGTCTACAAGGAAAAAGTACAATGTATTTCATTTGACAATTACAACGTCGCACACTTGAATAAATATTATGAAGAATTAGTGAAATATATGCGACTTATAGCAACTCGTACTTTGTGAAAATGTGTAATGATGTGCTATATAAAGTTCAATCTACATTTTAGGTGCTGTAGGAAACTTCAAGAAATACTGTTACAACTGGGTCTGTGGAACAACAGAAATCCCCAAACAAAAACTAACGCCGGAACAGAAACGTGTTCTCAGGGCGAAATTAACATCTATACATCAGACAAAATTCTGGAGGAAGACACTGAATGCGGGCGCAATAGTGGTTTCAACATTTACTGTATTTCTCATAGGATTTTTCTATTGAGGTCATCAAGACATATAAATACAGACTAAGGTCAATTGCAATATATTGGTCATGTTATGTGAAATACGTTTTTTAGAAACAATACCATATCAAGGAAACAGTATTTGTAACATTTTTGTCACAATCACTTTTGTATATAGAGTTAGGGCAGGAGAAATGGTATGTGCTGCCATGTTTACCATTGGTTAGTTACGCTAGGAATTCACAATATTTGCTAGTCAGTGATTGATATTGTAACCGCTTTGAATCGGATGTTTTACTTTTTATATATTTTTTCAATTATCTGTATGGTTAAATGAACAGTCTTCGATTGTATGTTATGTTACTTAAGATTGAACAAACCCCCGTGTTTGATATGTAATACGGATATGTTGTTAAAATGCTGAACATTTGCTGCGTCAGCTTGGTCATTTATAAAACATGAAAGCTTATGAATATTTAAAGAAAGTAAGTGACATTAAAGCATGTAAATCGTTTTAACACAACTAATTGTTAGGAAATTAAACATTATATCTATTATTACATCTTAAAACAACGTGTCTGATTGGATGGTACTGGTCACATGACGGAACAATAAAACAGTTTATTATACCTTCTGTTAAAATCTCGTAATCTGATTGGTTGAGAAAGATGTGAACATTTCCAATGTTACTTGCTCGTTTTACAAAGATAAAGAAGACAGGGTGACATTCCAAAAAATATCACATGCGCCAAACGTATGCGTGCACGGTTCGTCCCAGTACCAGGGTGTTATTCCAAAAATTGTTACATGCGCCAAACGTATGCGTGCACGGTTCGTCCCAGTATCAGGGTGTTATCAAATCACATTCATGGTTGGTTCATTCGACAATTGTTGAGATGAAGTCTTGGTTTATGTCAAATCAACACAAGGACCTTTAAAAATGGTGAAGTGGTGAAACACCTAAACATGACACTCGGTATAATAAAATAAAAATCCCGTTCATGAGAGGGCGATATTGCATATTTTCACCCCTCGGAAAGCATTGTTGACCTTGGCTTCGTCTCGGTTAACAATGTTTCCTTGGGGTGAAAATATGCAATATCGCCCTCTCATAAATGGGATATTTATATAAGGTCGCACCCATGCGCTCTATCCCCCTGTCACAATTCTCTTATTAGTAGCTTCACTAGAAAATTGGCAAAATACACCATAACCTAGTTCCGAATGACGGAGCTAAATGACACTAACCTCTACTATTGGGTGGGTGTTTTTTTCGGCATTACTGAAATGTTTATTGTTCTTTCAGTATGGAATAAAGATTCTTTGTTTCTCCTTTTTAAGTCTTGTTTCACTTGGTCTTCGCTTCTGTGAAACATGATCAACCTCGGAGGATAAAACAATCGTGTTTCCCTTCAGTAAGTGCAATACACGCATAAAATGTCCTTAACATATAAGGTCACGCAGTGGTCGGTTTCTCTTCCAATAGTTATGAAGAAGCATACTAGTTGGTTGTTGCCATAGGATGAATCCATTCATATCATAGAAAAAAATATCCCGGTATTTCATGAAGTTTTTGTAAATGCGAAACATGAGACCAACTTTAAAAAGTTAACAATGCGGATTGAATATCATTTATATATAATTCAGCGTATCTGAATGGATTATATTCACCATATGGCAGGGAATGAAAAGTCATACTGATCTCATTCAGGACTTAAATATTAACAAGGATAATCACACATGACCTCCGCCTGACTGACGCGACAGGAGTAGACAGCAACAAAGGGGCGCGTGTTTTACTTCTGTATAATAAAATACATATTGCCATTGTTTAAATGAATCATAGTTCTTTAGTTGTCCTCGATTTCGTCGTCGGTAAACGTGACTAATCGAGGAGAAATAAATATTCCGATATAAAGACATATGTTGGCTCACAAGAACACATTGACATAAGACCAGACGACTACAAGAAGGTCATATATGAAGCGCCGGAAAGTGGACCAATTTGTTTTGTGTACCAGCTTCATAAGTTTATATAACGTGCTAACACAAATCCATAAGCTCGGGATCGTTCCAATTTTTGCCGTCGAGTGAGTTGTGCTCTGTCGGGTTAATCATTCTTACAAATGTAATGCATTATAAATTTGGTTTTGTACAATATTAAGATCCCTTTGAAAAGGCATGAGTGGGTGCATGTCATGCGATAGCCTCTGGTTACCTGTACTTGACATGGATATTCCGTCTTTGCGTATTGCAGAGTTATCTTCTCTTGTGAGCAAGTATTGATTGTTACGTCATTTGTTTGTGAGAGTAACGTCATCAATTTTTGAGTAAACGACGTATTTTTTTCACACAAACCAATGACGTAACAATCAATACCTGCTAACAAGAGAAGATAACTTTGCAATACGCAAAGACGGAATATACCATACATAAGCGGTCCGTGGAATGGGTCCTTTGTGTACATGATTACATGATTGAGATTTGATTCCATAAACGAACAACAATCAATTTAAAATTTTGGATATTTTTGTTTATCCGGACTTGTTTTTAAATCATAATCATCATTTTTGATATATGTAAAGGGATATAGGTCGATTGTGTAAATTGTATCCCCAATCAGTTCCGTTTTTTTAAGAAAGACAACTCTCTTCAGATCAAAATTATTGTAAAATGTAAAATTAATGAATAATATAGCCTTTGTGTATGTTTTGTTCAATTTTTCAATCTTTTTGTATGAAACTATGTCTTGTTTGTTCTAAGCATGTACATATTCACTTTTAACCATCCAATTGCATTACAAAACATTTTGTATAACGATTTTTTATATATTTATTGTTATAGATACAAACGAGGCTACACTAAAAAAAAATGAAATTCAATTGACGAAACTCAATTTTTTAGGTATTTTTTTCCAAAACAAGTCCCTAGTCTATTGGAATACTTACAATTACATAAAAGAATCTCGTCATAGTTGCGTAACCATTATTTGAATGTTTTAACGAATTTGTGCTGATACAATGTAACTTGCGAAAGGGTGTAACCTCCTAAAATGCGTTTCGTTTTTATTTTCGTTACAGCAATAACAGCAACAAAAATGTAGTTATTTTACTGTTCGAATTATTTTGACACGTCATAAACATTAAATGTAGTATATCGTTATTCAGCATAATATCTCGCTTTCAAAATATGTTTGTATATACCTTCAGTGCATTCATACATGTATGTACTCAATAGGCAGATGAGAGGACTTTACAAGTATCTGGCTCGTGAGACTTAAGTAGTATTTTGTTCATAGTGCTCATAAACAAATGTATTGACTTGGAGATATGTATTGTCGATGAAATAAAGCACCTGACAAATACGTTTATTGTAACAAAAATAGTCCGTATGTAGCAATATCTCCTAAATACAGACTTCGTTTATCAATTGGTACTGAAATCAAAGTCGGGTTGATTAGTGCTTTTACGGTTAATAGCTATCAATAAATGTTTAAAAACGATATTTTATGTTCTCTTTATATTCTGTAAATTATTTACGTTCAACAAAATCCTTGTATTAACGTTTTAAATAGTCTTACAATTTGGTTCGAAATTAATTCTGTCCTGATCATGTCTTTTTCATTATTTTTTCCGGTCCACATCTTCCTGTCTTGTCAGTGGGTAAATACAAAGATAAATTTGTTATTCATGACATTCTTCATTCATTGATGTAGCAAATCTAACAATCATAACACTAAATCTAACAATCATAACACTAAATCTTACAGTCATAACACTAAATCTAACAATCATAACACTAAATCTAACAATCATAATACTTAATATAACAATCATAACACTAAATCTAACAATCATAACACTAAATCTAACAATCATAACACTAAATCTTACAATCATAAAACTAAATCTAACAATCATAACACTAAATCTTACAATCATAACACTAAATCTAACAATCATAACACTAAATCTTACAATCATAACACTAAATCT